TTCGTAATTGTTGTGTTTTAGTACAAAGCTACACAATGGGTAGCGTTTCGCTCTGTCCACCTCTGGAAATCGAGCTCTCGGTTTTAGCGTTGAAAGTTCGTAAACTTATTGATGACCGAATGAGGGAATTGAGAAAAGAAAAGAGAACAATATTGATTTTGGATAACGATAAAGCTTAAATAATAACAGAATAACGTATGAGTTTGAACACGTGCAATAAAAAGTTTACTATTTTATGATTATTGTTACGTATATTCCAATCATTTATTCCTGTTATACTTGTTTGTTTGTTTGTAATTAAGCACAAAGCTACACAATGGGCTATCTGTGCTCTGCCGACCACGAGTATCGAAACCCGGATTCTAGCGTTGTAAGTCCGCAGACCTACCGCTTTGCCACTGTTATACTAGTCAGTTTTAATACGTCCTCTTATGAGATGAATATGCGAAACTTTTTGTGGTAAAAGAAAAGGGATGGGTAATGTAAAAGTATAAACATTTCTTACAGGACAGCTAAGGAAACAGCTGAAAATGGAATAGATATATTGAGATTTATTAGAACTCTACTGACTGAGAATTAGTCGAGCTAAGTGTGAAATAAAACAAAAGGCATATCTTTCTACTATAAGGACCGTATTACTAAGGATATGGTTCTTAACATTTATAACAGATATATGAACATAAAACGAACATTCTTGAATTCAACGAAGCGGTTATTTTACTCTTGTATGATATATATAAGGATTTTTATAATAAATTTTAAAAGGGGTTAGTTAATGCTTGAAATAAATGTCAGCTAACAAACTATCAAAGCAAGGATTCTTCAACGGAATGTCTCATCTGTAAAATGGTACAGAAGGTAATAAAAATAGGAACACTTAACTAATGACTGTGATATATATAGAACTTTAAAGGACGAGTAAAAGAAAGGAACGAAAAGTACAGAAAATTGGGAATTTTAAGAAAGGCGATAAAATCACCTATAGTTATATTACACAAGAAAATATCCTAAGAGACGCTTGAGGCTAGAGTATTTTCGCATCGCTTAGTTTTATGAGTGATTAAAGTGTGAATTATGGTATTAAATTCAGTTGTGGAGTGTACTCACTAGGATTACAACGACAGAAGCTATCATAGGTAACTATGTTTTTTTCATGCTCTTGCGTCATGCCAAATAGCCTATAGTTTACTCGGAACCCTCATGCCAAATTCTGTTAATAAAAAGTTTATAATAGTAGAAATTGAGCCATAAACATGTAAAATGTTCTATTAAATTTTTATTTTTACTTTCCATTAACCATGCTGAGGATAACTTTTGGTAGAAAATGTTTTGTGTATGAGAGTTACGTAGAAATTATGTTCAGTTATATTTTAGGTTTTGCAGGTATCTTGTTCTTCACCATTGCTTCATTAATAATTTTATATATATAGTATCAAAATAAGATAAACCAAAGCTTAAAACTTTTTTTACTCTCACCAGGGCCCCACAGTGGCACAGCGGTATGTCTACGGACTTACAACGCTAGAATCCGGGTTTCGATACCCGTGGTGGGCAGAGCACAGAGAGCCCATTGTACTTAATTAGAAACCAACCAACAAACAAAGTTCTCACCAAGAATTATTGAACTATAAGTGTAATATAAGATATTTTGCAGATAAATAATATAGTTTGAACAGTGTGGCGGTTTCTATTTATAACAATATTACATGCTCTCTGCCCTCTGAAACCTTTTGCTGTCCAGCTGAGAGATCAAATATGGAAAACACCTTTCTCATAAAGTGCAGGTGTTCAGAAGTAACGCCTGTCGGATTAAAATGTTTATACTTTTTTTTTTTATCTTACCACTGTCTTGTAATAAATCAAATTCACCGAATAAAACCTTGGAAAGAAGACACAACATAGTAAATAATTTCATCTCTTGCACGTCAATGTTTGTAAAAAGGAGAAGAAGATATCTAAGGCTCTGATATTATTAATCAAGTTGAAATGCTTTTAGTTTTAGTGAAACAGGAAGCAACCACTTATCTGCAGCGTTGTAGTCCTCAAATTAATTTCTAGCATATAAGCGAGGTCGCTTCAAGTTGGATGTGAGACAACATCAGACATGATTCACAAAACTTGGCCACACTGTGTTAGCTAAGAAGTACCTAACTCGTGACTAAACTCTTTAGTTGAGATGGCAGACAGCTAACGTGGCTTTCGGGTGATACAGAAATGGATGAAAAAGTTGGCTTATCAGAATTGGAGATAGCGTTTACTCCGTCAAATTTTGGAAACTAAATCATATTATAATACGTATGTTTAGGGTATCTGAATAACTTATGTTTGTTTATGGATTTTGAGTGAAAGATAATTTTTTTTTACATCATACGAAAATAGCACCAACAGGGCATTTTGTTACTTGTTGTCTATTGGACTCATTATCTCTCTCACGTCGATCTGGAAGTCAGTGTTGCATTGTATTACCGCAGCCACGATAGTTAAGCTGCTCTTGAATTTCTGAGTGATTCTCCAAATCCGTCACATTTCTTACTGAAACAAGTACTGGATTTCATCTCTGGATTATCTTGATTTTTTTTCGAATCGTGGGTGTGTTATAAAAATGACGATAAAATCCCACTATTTAATTAGAATAATCCAAGAGTTGACGGTTTGCGAATATCCGAAGAAAAAAATAAATGTTATTGAAAAACGAATTCATTAGTTTCAACGGTACACTGTTTTTAATTGCATGTATATATAATTTTTTTTAGTGTTAAAATTGAATTTTTTTTAGATTTCATAAAAACACAAAAACAAAACCAGTATGTAGCAATAAAGAAAATTCCATCAAATATGCAACGACAGTGCAGCTTTAAATCTGTAATCTCATACCTTAAAGTTTTCCATCAAATATGCAACGACAGTGCAGCTTTAAATCTGTAATCTCATACCTTAAAGTTTTCCATCAAATATGCAACGACAGTGCAGCTTTAAATCTGTAATCTCATACCTTAAAGTTAAGGCAAAACATAAGTTTCAAAGAATGATGCTTTAGGTAAATTACAAAAGCAAAAAAAAAATGCCTAAAGATGTCCTTTCCGAAATATTGTTAATTAACTCAAAAGGCGAAGATAATAATAATAAAATCAAAATTTGTGCGGAAACTTTTGTTAAAGTGATCAATTCAGGCATAGCTTTTCTTGTCATATTTAACTATGAGATATGTTATTCAATGTCTACCACACGTGCTTTTTATTTTCCTATAAAATGCTTTAAAATATTAACAGAAGGAAATGAATTTATTATAAATCTTCAAGCTCAGTAGGAAAATTTTTCATTGATATACTGTAATGGATTTTCTATCGAAATTACTTTCGATATACCCTGAGCTAAGAACGCTGTGATTCAATCACATCCCACAAATATTATATCAAACAATTTACAGTATAAAAAAATTAACACGAATTCGTTTTTGAAAACTAAAGACAAACGGCTATCAATTCATTTTATTCTATCAAAATAAAAGTTTTCTATTTCAAATTAAAATAAATATGAAATATATGGTACTTTATTAATACTTTAACGATTTCCTCATGCAAAAGATTGTGAGTAGCTAATATGAACAATAATTTAGCGCAAGTTTGAAATATTTTACGTGTGTTTGTATAATGAAATTGAGAGGTCAAAATCACAGTTTTTGGTATACCAAATGAAATTACACACGTTTGCTCATCATATTTACAATGTCAACGTGAATGTACTATTTGTTTTGAGAGAACGAACATACGACAGTTTCTACAGGCTTCATCATATTCCAGTTTATCCTATTGTTTACACTAAATATTCCAGTTATATCCTATTGTTTACAATAAATATTTCAGTTATATCCTATTGTTTACAATAAATATTCCGGTTTAGCCTGTTGTTTACAATAAATATTCCAGTTATATCCTATTGTTTACAATAAATATTCCAGTTATCAGTTATATCCTACCGTTTACAATAAATATTCCAGTTATATCCTATTGTTTGCAATAAATATTCCAGTTATATCCCATTGTTTACAATAAATATTCCAGTTATATCCTATTGTTTGCAGTAAATATTCCAGTTATATCCTATTGTTTACAATAAATATTCCAGTTATATCCTATTGTTTACAATAAATATTCCAGTTATATCCTATTGTTTACAATAAATATTCCAGTTATATCCTACTTTTTACAATAAATATTCCAGTTATATCCTACTGTTTACAATAAATATTCCAGTTATATCCTACTGTTTACAATAAATATTCCAGTTATATCCTATTGTTTACACTAAATATTCCAGTTATATCCTATTGTTTACAATAAATATTCCAGTTATCAGTTATATCCTACTGTTTACAATAAATATTCCAGTTATATCCTATTGTTTGCAATAAATATTCCAATTATATCCCATTGTTTACAATAAACATAATTTTAGTAAATGCTTTCAAAGAAGAATATTTCAGAAATATTTTTCATGTTTAATTAGAAATTTAATAAATTTGCTCTGAGTTTGAAATGCACATATCAGAATTACATTTCTAACTTAGAAAATGTTTATAGAAATCCACGAAGGTCAAGCTATGTCATTACGATTTAGCATTGAGCGTCAACAAAAGTAATTAGTTGTTTCATTAAATACATAACTTAGTTTAACAGTTGAAGGTATTAGATATTCTACTTTGAAGAAGTCAGTAGATATTTCTAAAATAACTTACCTGGATAATAATTTATACTGCTAAGCCTCTGATAATTTGTTCCAGGAAAAGAGACAAAACAGTCAAACCGTGTAGCGCCATCTGGTGAGAGTTCGCTGTCGTCTACTTCATAAGTTACCGATACTTTATAACTATATTCCTGGTGGAATACTTCTGTCTCTTTGTCAGTTATGACCGTGTGTTCGCTCGCTCCTGGTGAAGTTTGAAATACATCGATATCAGGTATCGGGTAAACCTGGTCTACTTCACAGCCGAACTTAGCTTTATCGGAGGTCGTTTTAGTGTAGTTAAAACGAAGAAACTTAGCTGGAGCTAGAAGAAAAGGAAATATCAAGCGTCGGTTATAATTCTTAAAAATATTTTGATTGAATAGTGAAAAACTTAAACATAGATGTTGTTGTTTTTATCACAAAAACTCGCTCTGTTAGACGTGACTTCTGAGCGATTAAACATTACGTGAAATATTTCAATGAGTTTGTATGTGTTATTCTTTAGATACTTTATCGGTTTACTCAAGAAACCTAAATCACATAAAAAGTTGCATAGACAAAAGTCGTTAAAATTAAATAGGTTAAAGATAGCCAAACTACTTATTTTGCCAAAGACGACTTTTCAAATAGCCGGTCTTCGTCAGATCAAAATGCAGATGCTGCTTTAGACTTATAAGTCAGATCAGTGAATTATGAAATCAAATTACTAGAATTTTTAACATGTTTGAACTTGCATTTATTGCGAGTCCTCGTCATCTATACATGTTATATTAAACATCTACACGTATAACTTGTATAATGAGATAGGTTCTATAGACATCATGAACGATTTATTAGAACAACAAACAGTTTTATCAGACACCTGTAGAAAGATGTGTAATTCAACATTTCACCTATCACAACAAAACCTCACTAAAACATATATAATGACGAAATATAACATGAAGGTATTATAAATAGCATCTGTAACCTTATATCATTTCATATGAAACGTTCAGTGCTTGTACTCTAATAACCTCCGCAACGTGACGTGGCATGCTATCGATGAGGTTATTGATGTAATCCACCGTGATTTCATCCCAACTTTTCACTAGATGGCGCTGCAGCTCAGCTACAGTAGCTGGTTTAAAGTCCTGGTTATCAATTTTTCGACTCAGTTCTGCCTAACATTTCTCAATGGGATAGCAATCTGGAGACTTTGGCGGCCATGGGAATCTTGTAACATCCTCCTGGTCGAGATAATCCTGTACTATATGCACACTGTGGGCAGTGGCATTGTTATCCTGGTACACAAAGTTATTGCCAGACTTTGCTCTAGCATATGGCAGATATATCCTTTCAATGTGATGCCTGTAGGAGGCGCCATTTACGTTTCCCTGGAGGATACGAAGAGCAGTTTTTTCACCATGATGAATACTGCACCCTCTCCAATGAGAAAGCTACTCTTCTCTCATCTGTTCTCCAGGCAAACTACGAACACGAATCCTATCATCAATTTTAACAAGCCTGAAACAGGACACATTTGAAAAAGTGACATGTCGCCAGTCACCTAAATGTAAGTTAGCATGCTGTCTTGCCAAGGTAACACTGTGACGGTGGTGAATTCTGGGTAATATAAGTTTCAGATATCCCTTCTTGCAAAATAACCTTGTTTAGTCTGTTTCCTATTCACTATTCTTTTGGATACCCTGGAATGAATGTGTTCTTGTCATTCCTGTCGTAAGATGTTCCAAGACTTCTTTCAACCTTGACGTCTTAACCCAATCAAAACACGGTCATCTCTGGTTATTCGACATCTACCAGTAATCTTTCCTGGAACAACGTTTCCTGTAGTTCGATGATGTTTCAGGATTTTTCTTCATATCATTTCTGGACAATCGAACAATTTGACACCCTATAACTTCTGGCACATGACGAGGAATGACTTTACACCACGTACAGAGAAATTGTCTGAACAAAGCGTTGGTTTGTTTCGAAAAAGATTATTCCAAAAGCAAAACCTTTTACACAAAACAGATATGTGGGTGGGTTATGATGAACAAATGCTGAAAAGAACTTATATCAACCAGAATAAGAACTCGTACATGTTTGTCCGATCATACGTTACCTTCTCTGTTACTACTCTGAGTACTTCATGTATGTAGACAATAACATTAGTATGAAAGTATTTTGGCCAATACTATATAATGTGCAATTGTTATCATAGTTAGTAGTCTATACGGTCGTTTAGGGCTAATTATTAACCTACTTTTCACATTTCTTTATATAATTACATATTAATTACGAATCAGGTTTTATAATAAGTAAAATAATGAAGCAAGAGACTTCCACCAAGAAGACCCAGGATCGAATCCCGGTCAGTTCCAACACGGAAATAACTTTTACAGAATTTGTCTGAAGACGGCAACAGATTAGCAGCCGAAATTGAGATAACTGTGTCTAGTTATATAAAGAATGATTACAAATAATTAATAATTATAATTAGACGTAAGAGATCGTTTAGGCTAATAACCACGATAACGATTGATAACGTTTCGCCACCATCTTATCGTAAGTACTTATAGTATACAGCTAAGCCCATCACGAGTATCGAAACCCAACTTTTAGCATTAAAAGTCCGCAAACTTATCGCCGAGCCACTGGGGGAGGGGGGGGGGCATGTTTCTGTAAAGAAACCAAAAATTTGGTATTATATAAACAAACTTCAATGAAATGAAATATATTTTTAGTTCAACTTACTACCAACTTTCTGTGCTTTATTTTAGAAGATAGACTAGTCTTAAACTCTTAAAACTAGTATCCATACGGCGACTAGCACGTAAATCATTGATATTGTTTAGGGTACTAAACTGTCTCTGATGGGAGAGTAACTATAATGTAAAAAATCAGAAAATGTAGAAGAATCAAAGTGGGGATTTATCTATTCTAGAAACTTGGTTTACCTGTGTGTTTATATTACACTTCAAAAAGAACATCATATACATCATTGAAAAGTAGCAGGAAAGTCATACAAATAAAAGCGATAATTTTTATAAAGGGTTCCACAGACGTATAAAATACTTAACATATGAATAAAGTCAATAACTATTTTTATAAAGTATCACTGATATTTTTTCTTTGCTTTTCTTAGCCCAAAAATATTATATAGAACTGTAATATTCTCCACCCAGAAGAAGCTTAATCTAAGTCAGATTTTTTCATTCATATAAAACATATTTTCCTATGAGGGTAAGATTAAACCTTTTGATATTAATAAGCCCGTTGAAAAAAAAACCTTTTCACAAACTCGCTTGTAACATAAGTCAAAAGAAGATTAAAAAGAGAAATATGGCATAAAAAATGCAAAGCTGTTTAAATGTGCCCTTTCTGATTAGAAAAAGAACAAAAAACAAGAAAAAAAGGAAACACGAAACTGTAATTTCACATAAGATTACAGCAGCTTAAAAAATCGTTATAAAATCTTCTAAAGATCATATTGATTGTGGTGAAATCATTAAAAGTTATTCCTTCATTTGATAGCTCCTCATTAGAGGTAGAAGTTTGGACAGGTCAGATTTGGTGGACTGTCCTATGGATGGCAATTTTTTAAATATTAACTGTTGCGTATAACATTATATGTCGGTCTTTAATAGTTTCAAATGTTTATGTTTTGTTGAAATAATAGGAAATATAGTAATATGTTAAGTTGCATTGCCTGTGCTCTTCTCAGTTAATAACATGTAAAGAACACAATGTTTGCTTTAACTTATACAGTTCTCTGCAACTGATCCCAAAGAAAACATGTATATATTATTCAGTTCATGTGTATGTTCAACCATACGTCTCCGATGACGCTTTCTAAAGTACACGAATCATAGGTAAAACTTAACAGCTCACTAATATATTGAAATATTCCTTGTTCACTAATAGGAATGGCAGCTATTTCCATAGAGCAGGTGACAAGTTCGATTTACTACTAGTTGTGTTTTAGTGCAAAGTTAGATAATGGGCTATCTATCCTCTGTCCACCGCGGAAATCGAACCTCAGATTTTAGCGTTGTAAGTCCTTTAAATTAATTGCTGACCCACCAGTGTACGCAATGCAATAACCATACTATTGTTTGTTTGTTTATTTGTAATTAAGCACAAAGCTACACAATGGGCTATCTGTGCTCTGCCCGCCGCGGGAATCGAGCCCCAGATTTTAGCGTTGTAAGTCCGCCGACATACCGCTGTGCCACTAGGAGGCTAACCATAGTAAGTTATTTTAAAAGTAAATTAACATCATAATAAAGACAGTCTAAGAAGAAGGAATTCGATAAAATGAGCCAGAAAAAAAAACATTTATAAAAAAAAAGATAAAATGGTTTTAAACTTTAAACTAAAGATTGCAGAAACTTTTATCGTTCACCTTTAAAAATATATTTTAGAGCTAGCTGTAGGTACGGAGTTCGTAAAATATACACGAATTTTTATGTTCCTCACTTATCAGTTGTGTTTAAGATGTTATTATTACACGGATCTTACCGTAAACTGTCATTTCCTTTTCCGCCGTGTCGAGTCCGTTGAAAGATGTCACGTGGCAAGAATACTTCCCACTGAGCTGTGAGGTTGGTTTCAGGATTCGGAGACTTCGGTACTGCGTGAAGTTCGTGGATGGAGTGGTGGAGGAGTTCATGTCGATACGCCCTTGTAGTTTCTCGGAAACCAGTCGGGATCCGAGTTCAGGAATCCATTGGTAGATGGGTTTAGGATCATCGTTATGGAACCATTTGACGACAAGGTGATCGTCTTCGTATGTAAAGTTGTAAACACAGTCCAACGTGACAGACTCCTGGGTTCCATTTTCAATCCATCGGGGAACAGACAGCTGCGTAATCTGTAATGCTTGAAGCCCTATAGACAGAGAAAACATTGAATTCATACGGAAATCCACGATGTAAAGCATGGATTAATTACCTGGTAGACATACCGTTGTGGATTATAAAAGTCATTAAACAAAGATTCAGGCCAACTAAAGACGCGGAACAAAGCGAATGAAGGCGTTTTAACAGCACCAAAGTTTAAATTTTCTCTACAGCATTACACATTGTAGTTTCCTTTTCAACAGGTTCTTGATATATGGCTACCTCTCTCACACACACATACGAATTAATAAAATCAGTAAATGAATATATGGATTAAACTAGATACGGTATTTATTATTGTTTTCAAAGCCTTCATTGCATTTATGCTGTCTGAGCGCTATCTTGTGCTCTATTTCGTCAATGAACCTCTCCTGTTTTAAGTCTTTACTATAACTTTAAGGATCGATGGATATTAAGCATAAAAGGTCTGTACATAATTTCTTGAAAGTGAAAACTATAAAAGTTCTGTACAGAATTTTTTGAAAACTGTAAGAGGTCTGTACATAATTTCTTGAAAGTGAAAACTGTAAAAGTCTGTACATAATTTTTTGAAAGTGAAAACTGTAAATAGTAGTCAGAACATAATTTCTTGAAAGTGAAAAATGTAAAAGGTCTGAACATAATTTCTTGAAAAGGGAAACTGTAAAAGTCTGTACAGAATTTTTTGAAAACTGTAAAAGGTCTGTACATAATTTCTTGAAAGTGAAAATTGTAAAAGTCTGAACATAATTTCTTGAAAGTAAAAACTGTAAAGGTCTGTACATAATTTCTTGAAAGTGAAAACTGTAAATAGTCTGAACATAATTTCTTGAAAGTAAAAAACTGTAAATAGTCTGAACATAATTTCTTGAAAATGGAAGGCCTGTGTGCGTCTCTTGGATTCCTCGATAGTCGTCTATCGAAACCAGTGTACTAGTGCACTTTCACTAAAAGTCACGTCTGTTCAATAGGGTGTGAGAGACACAGATCAACGTTCGTATATCGGAAGATCTCACCAAACAAAGAAACGTTCGTAGACTGCAAGACATCGGCAAACAAAGGAACGTTCGTAGATCGCAAGATCTCACCAAACAGAAAAACGTTCGTAAACTGCAAGACATCGCCAAACAAAGCAACGTTCGTAGATCGCAAGATCTCACCAAACAGAAAAACGTCCGTAGACTGCAAGACCTCGCCAAACAAAGCAACGTTCGTAGATCGCAAAATCTCACCAAACAGAAAAACGTCCGTAGACTGCAAGACCTCGCCAAACAAAGCAACGTTCGTAGATCGCAAGATCTCACCAAACAGAGAAACGTTCGTAAACGGCAAGACCTTGCCAAACAAAGAAACGTTCGTAGACGGCAAGGTCTCGGCAAACAGAGCAACTTCCGTGGACTACAAGACCTCTCCAAACAGAGCAACTTTCGTGGACTACAAGACCTCGCCAAACAGAGCAGCTTCCGTGGACTACAAGACCTCGCCAAACAGAGCAACTTTCTTGGACTACAAGACCTCGCCAAACAGAGCAACTTTCGTGGACTACAAGACCTCGCCAAACAGAGCAACTTCCGTGGACTACAAAACCTCGCCAAACAGAGCAACTTCCGTGGACTACAAGACCTTGCTAAACAAAAGTGCTGATCATATCATGTTCCCAGTAAAATAGAAAGATTTTTTACCAATAAATGTTTTATTTTACAACCTGCATTAGACGTTAGTATTATTATTTACTTTTAGTCATTGAAGAAGCATATCTTACAACAATATCTTCCAAACTTAAAAGTGATTTTATTTTACCTTTGTCAATAAACATGATTTATAAGAACTGAATTTGAATCTCTCATTAAGCATCATTGAACATATGTCAAAAGACTTGAGTTTTCCTGGCTTGCAAAATCCCATAAATCGATTAGATTCGGGCAGCTGTTCCAGAAATCACGATTCTAATTTATTGGTATGATAATGTACCACATAATCTGTGAAACAGAACCATCCCTAGTCACGAAGTACCACGTGCTAGTAAGGACTAGTTGATGGCTGTGTTCATCAGTATCGATCGACATAACATGTGAAGTTGACCACAAGGAACGAAGTAAGATATAACTAAACGTATGAGAGATGGTGAAATATAGGAAGTTACATATGTTTAGTATATGATCAGTTTTTTGTTTTTTCATCTCTGGGTTCCCGTATTCGATAATACGTTGAAACGACATTTATATAGTAGGTAGTTTCTCCAGTGGATCTCAGGAAAACATTGCTGATAAAACCTTTTTTTTCTAGAACAAATTGATATCGTGAAAGAGAGGGAGGAGGAGGAGAGAAAAACAAACAAACAAAAACAGGATGATTAATAAGACTCGAACAAACTACTACATCTTCTTACATGCTTGTACTTAAAAATCAACAAGAAATAAACGAAGATTACAAACTCACTATGTTAAGGTGACATGCAAAAATATAATGTTAAATGTTTTAATTTTTTACGTAGTTTTTGTAATCATACTTCAGTTTCATTTGGAAAGTTTTTTTACCAAATAATTTGTTCTAAAGTCTAAATAAATTGCTTTATATATTTTTTGACTTATACGGCGCCCTCTGTGTTTTATATGCATAAATTAGATGACTGGAGTTTCTAACAAGAAGCTTCTACGAGAGTTTTAATACCAAATTAATTTTGTTCTAAAGTCTCAACAAATAGCTTTATATATTTTTTGACTTATACGGCGCCCTCTGTGTTTTATATGCATAAATTAGATGACTGGAGTTTCTAACAAGAAGCTTCTACGAGAATTTTAATACCAAATTAATTTTGTTCTAAAGTCTCAACAAATAGCTTTATATATTTTTTCTACTTATACAGCGCCCTCTGTGTTTTATATGTATAAATTAGATGACTGGAGCTTCTATAATATAAGATACCTGAGCTAAAACAATCTATAGTTTAAAGTCTTTTATCGGTGTTACAAGCCGTCTAAAAGTTTGAATTACTAAAAGCATGCCGATTTAATGCAAAGAATAATTTTGTGCTAATGGGTTTATAAAGTTTTCGCAAACTTCATATAAAATATTTTTGTCACGCACTTTTTAACAACCTTCTTCGAGAAAATTCACAACTTATAATTATTCCGAGACGTTGAGCTTACTGTTTTAACAATTAAGCTGTGAAAATGAATGTTATATACAGAGTCGTACAGAAGAGCCATAGAATAACCCGTTTAATGTGTAAAGTATCTTATTATTCTTATCACACATATCGTTCAACGTCAAGCTGTGACTTTGGAGAAATCCCTTCTGAATGTAAGCCATAAATCAAATTTTGAGGAAATAAAAAAAATAGCGTTTAAAGGAAGAGCTATAAACACATGAGACTCAAAGTGTTGTGCTCGCTAATACCGAACTGTTACTGCGTAAAAAAAATGTTCATTTTTTTGTTCATTCACACATATAAGTTTAGAAACAACATTTTAGAAAACCATGCGTCAAGCATGACTTGTAGGTTGTAAAACAATATCGATATGGTAATGACGATCTCTGAATTATCTGAATTATATAAATAACTGAGCGTAAAAATATGTTACGTAAAAATATGAAAGTAAAACAAACTGTGTGTCATAATTTAACTGGAGTCACGCAACAAACACAATATCGTATTTCAAGGCATGGCTACCATTATACATATCAATGTTAATGCTCTTGTCTTCTAATTGTGTGACCCTGTCCTTGTAATGAATATTATAAGTGTTCCTTAAATAGATTTTGTAATAGAATTAGGATATGACATAACTTTGTAGATTCAGTTGTTAAAACGTGAATTCAAACTTGTTGTCTTGGTGAATCTTTGATCAAATGTTGAAATTTTAAAAGTTGTTGTCTTGGTGAATCTTTGACAACTTTCATAAAGTGTTGAAACATTTAAATTTGTTGTCTTGGTAAATCCATGACTACCTTGATAAAGTGTTAAAACTTTTAAAGCTGTTTGTTGTCTTGGTGAATCCTTTACCACCTTCATAAAGTGTTGAAACTTTTAAAGTTGTTTGTTGTCTTGGTGAATCCTTGACTACCTTTATAAAGTGTTGAAACCTATAAAGTTGTTGTCTTGGTGAATCCATGACCACCTTGATAAAGTGTTGAAACTTTTAAAGTTGTTTGTTGTCTTGGTGAATCCTTGACTACCTTGATAAAGTGTTGAAACTTTTAAAGTTGTTTGTTGTCTTAGTGAATCCTTGACTACCTTTATAAAGTGTTGAAACCTATAAAGTTGTTGTCTTGGTGAATCCATGACCACCTTGATAAAGTGTTGAAACTTTAAAGTTGTTTGTTGTCTTGGTGATTCCTTTACCACCTTCATAATGTGTTGAAACTTTTAAAGTTGTTTGTTGTCTTGGTGAATCCTTGACTATCTTTATAAAGTGTTGAAACCTATAAAGTTGTTGTTTTGGTGAATCCCTGATGAACTCTATAAAGTATTCAAACTTTTAAAGCATATATGATTGTTATATTGCTGTGTTATCTGAAATAATTGAGCAATCAATATATGGAATTATTGTGTCGGTTTAATAGGAATATATGTAATATAGTAGGCGAGTTTAGTAATATATTTTTCAGCAGAACCAATACATTTGCTGAATTGTTGATTTTTTACACTACAACAGCTTTTATAAGTGATCATCAGTAAGGTTGTGTTTAACGCATTACCTGAAAACGAGCTAATGAGAAAAAAAATCAACATAATTTTTGACTTTTTAAGTGTTTAGAAAAATAAAATATGGAAAATTCTCAGTTTCAAGGTGCTTAAACTGTCGATTCTGGAAAATAGTAAAAAGCATGATATATAATGTGCAAGGTGTTCCAGAAGTCTGGACCCGTAGGGAAAATCGACAAACACGTTTCTAATGTCAGTTGTACATATTTCAGGAAAGAAAAAAAACCCGATGTCACAGTATACCAAGAATTGACATGTGTACGGCTGTTAATGGCATGTATTTTGAATCTATATAAATATAT